TCATTCTCTTATTTTATTCATTCTCTTATTTTATTCATTCTCTTATTTTATTCATTCTCTTATTTTATTCATATCGACAAGACGTACTATTTAAATAAATAAAGTTTTTTTTTCTCCTCCTCTCGTCTATTGCTACATAGTTATATTGATCGCATTTATATTCTGTGATTATGTCACGCAAAAGTTCAAGAAAACAAGTGGCTCAAGTGGGGGAAGAATCGATTGATATCGAGGAGATTATTAAACAAGTATTGCAATCTGAAGAAATGTTAAATGGTATATCAAAAATTGTTCGTGAAGCCATCAAACCATTGGAAAAAAGATTAGTGTCCCTTGAAAAACAGGTCGGCGAACTTCAGGCTTCATTAGATGATTTAGCTGCTTATAATCGGCTTACAAATCTACGTATCTATGGTGTTAAAGAAGAACCTAAGGAAAATACGGATCAGATTGTTATCGGGATATGTGCATCGATCGGTGTTACTATATCTGACGAACACATTAGTGTTAGTCATCGTATCGGCCGTAATATGAATGGCAAAAGAAGTCGTGCTATTATCGTGCGTTTTGTTCATTACCGCACCCGTCAGTTAATTCTCATTCACAAGAAACAGCTAGACAAAAACATATCGATAAATGAAGATTTAACATTGACGAATTTAAGTATATTTAAATATGCACGATCAAAACTAGTGAAGAAACATGTATACACGTGGAATGGATTGATCATGTACAACGATGGAATTAAACGTACTTGTTTAACCTCGACTAGCCATGTAGATTTACTTATAGATGGGGAGGAAGAAGAAAAATAGACTAAAGATGATAAGGAAAAAACTCTTATTCAAGTATGTGAACAGTCAGTTTTATTGCTTGTTGTTATTATTGCATTTTACGGAGAAAAGGAGAGAACAGAGAGTTACACGTGATCTTCATCGTTTCTATCAGTGTGACAATGCTCAGTTTGACAATGGTTGATAAAAAAAAACAACATCAGGCTGACTTTGCGCGAGTGCTCTTTTTAAATTGTAATAGTATGACTGCAAAAGTTACCAATCATGCGACTAAGTTTGATCTTTTACAAGCTTATATTTCATCAACAAAACCTATAATAATTGCTGTAACAGAAACTTGGTTGAGTGCTTCACACCCAGACAATGTTTTTGATGTACCCGGCTATGAAGCTCATCGTAGAGATAGATTGACGAGGGGAGGTGGTGTCATGTTATACGCCAGAAAAGATGTCAAAGTAAAACGCTTGTTCGACTTAGAAGATATTGAATTTGAAACATGCTATTTTAACATTAGTCTACCATCATTGCAGAGTTTTATTTTGGGTGTTTGTTATAGATCACATGAATTTTCGCCCATGCCTCAGTTTGTTGATCATATGAGTAATGTTCTAGAGAAAATAACCAACACTCATTCTGCTCAAGATGGCATCATTCTTTTAGGTGACTTTAATGGGCATTCTGCCCAATGGTGTCCGACAAAACCGTCAACTTTGGACGGTAACTGTCTTTATGATTTTGCTCTAAAGGAGGGTCTTTCACAGCTGGTGACGAAAGTAACTAGACCAAAATCAAATACCTGTTTGGATCTTATATTCACCAACAATCCTCTTGCCATTAATAATATAAATGTTTTAGCTCCTTTAGCAGACAGTTACGATCATTGTATGGTAGAGTTTACTGTTTTTAAACTAAGGCAGCTATCCTTTTCATATAAAAGGAGAATTTATGATTATAAAAACTCAGACTGGGATTTGTTTAGATACTCGCTCTCGACGATTAATTGGCATTCACTTCTAAATCATGGTAGTTTGAATGAAAAAGTTGCTGCTTTTCAGGATAAATTTTTAGAAGTTGCCAATAACACGTTGCTCAATAAGTGGATCACTATTTCGTCTCGTGATCAGCCGTGGTTCACTGACAAATTGNCGGTATAAACAGTACTCAAAATCAAAAAAGTTAACAGATCTCCATGCATATGAAGTGAGTGCGAAGGTATTCGAAAGAGAATGTGATAAAGCAAAGGAGAAACATTATGACCAACTCTCATCTACTAAAAACTCAAGCAAGAAATGGTGGAGCCTTCTGAAATTTTCACTTAGCAAAACAAAAGAGTCAAACATTCCTCCACTGCTTGATAGTATAACTGGTAAGATTGCTTCGTCTGCTTTAGATAGGGCACAAATTCTGAATCGATACTTTTCTAAAATATGTACAGCCGACTCCACTTTCGTTCCTTCGGCTTCTCATCTTGCCCCAGCATCTCCTATCACCATGTCAAATTTTGTTGTCAATGTCTCACAAGTCTATGAAATTCTTCTAAATCTGGATGTTAGCAAAGCCACATCACGTGGTATTTCGAATCTGATGCTTCGTGAAGCGACACCAGTTATCTCACAGATTGTAACAGATTTGTTCAATGAATCACTGATCAACAAAGTATTCCCTGACTGCTGGAAACTAGGACAAGTTTTACCTCTGTTTAAGGCTGATGATCCCCAAATATGTTCTAACTACAGACCAATTACATTATTACCGGCGTTGTCAAAGGTGTTCGAAAGAGTGGTATATATGCATGTTTTTGGGTTCCTTCGAGTCAATAACTTAATCTGTAAAAATCAATCCGGGTTTTTGCCCAGAGATTCCTCAGTCAACCAACTTATTGATATAGTTGACTTCATTGCTAATAGTATAGATGCACGAGATTCTGTTATAGCAGTATTTTTAGACTTTAGCAAAGCCTTCGATAGAGTATCCCATGCAGGTTTATTGATGAAATTACGTAATAAAGGTATATCTGATTCTATGGTGGACTGGTTTGAAAGTTATTTAACTAACAGAAGTATTGTTACGGTTGTTGACGGGGCAACCTCTGATCCTCTTAAGGTGACTTGTGGGGTCCCTCAGGGATCAGTGTTGGGACCACTCTTATTTTTGTTATATATAGATGATCTGCCACTTGCTCTGAGCTCATCATGCAAAATGTTTGCAGATGATGTATCACTGTATACTAAGGTAAATAATAATATCGTACTAGCTGCTGTTAAACTGAACGATGATTTAAAGAAGGTGTGTGAATGGTCCAAGAGATGGTGCCTTCCTTTGAATGTAAAGAAATGTACTTGCATGCTGTTCACGAGTGTTATTAAGACTCCTTATCCGCCTTTACTTATTGATAACTCTATATTACCGTATGTTCAAAAACATGTTCATTTAGGATTGACACTGACGCCTTCTCTACAATGGAAGACACATATTCTTGATATCTCCAAGAAACTTTCACGCACAGTGGGCTCGATGAAGTACTTGAGTCGAAGGATTTCTCGTGAGACGCTAAACTCTATCTATCATGCCTATGTGCTTAGTGTCATTAATTATGCTCTAGTTATTTATGGAGGAACGGTAGACAGTAACCTGAATATGCTATCCCAAATTCAGTATCAGGCTGCGCTCGCAGTGTCAGGTTGCATGCGTGGTACATCGCAGCAGAAAATTCTGCAAGACTTAGGTTGGTTGTCAGTAACGCAGTTGGTTTACGTGAGAAGATTGTGCCTCTTCTACAAAATTATGCATGGCAAAACGTCTCCATATCTACGTGAGCTCGTGCCAAAGTA